CTGGAGTTTTGGGTAGCTTTGGGATAGGGTTACGGGTTAGAGATCAGGGTTAGGGTAAAGGTTAGGGTGAGTGATGGGGATAGGGTTAGGGATTGGGATAGGGTTATGGATGGGGATTGGGGTAGGGTTAGGGGTTAGGGATTAAGGGTTGGGGTTAGGGACTTGGATGGGGTAGGGTTAGGGATGGGGATTGGGTTAGGGGTAGCGATTATTTCATGGGTTGGTTAGGATTAGGGAGAGGGCTTGAAATAGCTGAAGGATAGGGTTATTGGTAGAGTTAGTGTTGGGGTTAGGGTTTGGGATAGAGATAAGGTTAGTTTTAGGGTTAGGGTTTGCTCTGTATTCTCATCAACATTTCACAGAACGGAAAATACCACAAGATAGAGTACCCGTATTGATAATGAAATATAAAATGACAGGAACGCTGCTCACTCTTCAACTACATCTTTACAGAGAAGGAATTTGCAGTAAAGAGACTCTTTTCACAGGGAATTGTGTCTGAATAACTTAACCATAGATCAGATCCACCACACAGCACAACGCATTATTTAGCAGAACAGTTGGGTTTTTTATTCAACTTTCCGCGGTCTTTTTATGCTTGTGAAGAACCCCCTTTCCCAAAAGAAAGAAAAAGGCATTTCATTTACAATATGAAACTATATATGAAAGAGTTCAAGCATATAGACATGTGCCCAGACGTGACGGTAGTCCTATACCAGGCAAGCTATGGGACGGAGGCGTGCCCCCCTTACCTGTCCAATCCCTATACACACTGTAGACTATTGTTACCTAACACATCCACCCAAGAAGTCTGCAAAGAATTCCTGAGATTCCGATCAAACAATGACCAACACAAAGGCGGGGGGAGGGTTCTCTCCGTCCCATATCTTGCTTCAAATGGGTAGTCCAGTAACTTTCACATATTGAAGCGTGCGCATTTAAATTACCTAGGAGAGCGTGTCATGAAGACAAACACTTAATGTTCACGTTTGTCACCCCCTGCACTTAGTTTTTCTTTCATGATTGTTCAGGGATGAACACTGAACGTCAGCAGAGCTTTCGTGATGAAATGAGATGTCAGATGTAATTCTTTTCTTTTTCAGTCATCTAGTGCAGCAGTAGCCTTTTTCGAGCAGTGGAGTTCCTTGATTTCCTCTGTTTCTGTAAAAACAAATCGTGATATTCTTGCATCAGGAGTTTTCTTAATAATTTGAAACACCTAAAGGTGAAGCCAGCGCTGAACTAAAGGCCATCCTTATGCTCATTAGCTTGCTACATTTTTGTAAAGCCAGATTCAAGAACTAAAATTTGGTTCACGTTGTGATGTTATTCTGTCACAGCAAGTCATTACATAACCAAAAGTCGAGTTGATATTCGATTAGTATGGAATTCAATAGGATTAAATGTGATCGATAAAACTTGCTTTATGATACATCAAGAATCGGTACTGGGTTCTGTGGACACTACGATGTTGCATAAAATGACGTAATATTTTTCATAGGAAATTTAGCACTTTTCGCTTTATTGTGTGTATCATGACTAATGGAATTTGTAAATATATGGGGTGTATCTCCAGAAAAACTGTAAGAAATATTTTGAACGGATTCTGTTGCACGCTATGGGTGCTATGTTCGCAACACACCGTACATGCCGTACGGTGTGTTGCGAACATAGCACCCATAGCCATGTGAGACTACAAAATCCACTAGTATCGAACACTGGCTATATTATATGGCTCTTCCGGTTGATCAAAAGCCGAAGCTGTAGTCGTAGGAGCGCGACCAGAACGCGACTCGTCCGTCATGCACCACCCCATACAGACCTGTGCATTAACTCAGTGGTGCACCGGCAGCGGTGGGTGAACATGTAAGTGTTGCAGTGGCGTATCCACGGGGGGGGGGGGCTGGAGGGCACGTGTCCCCTACAAATTCCCGGTACCCCCAGGTGCCCCCCCCCCCACTAAAAAAACCGATGAATGGATACTGAGCAAGGATAGCATAACCTTGCCTCAAAAAACCGTGCCCCGTACCACTGGAAGCTGGTGCCCCCTTTTTGCCCCTCTCCCCACTATTTAGCCACGGGTGTGTTGACCATTACTTGTGTGTATGTGTAATTGTACTACGTGAAGCACTGTTGTAGCGTCTTAATCTCTCAGCCTTTACACAGTAACACAGTAACATTCTGTGCATGAAGGCTAAGGGTTTTGTTATGTCCTTAATATGAACGCCAAAAAAGCAATCCTCTGAAATGGCCGAGTGGTCAAGCTCGTGGTTATTAGATCGTCAGACGGTGGGTTCGAATCCCAGTGGTGGTTTTTTTATTTTCCCAAAGCTAATTCCTGTCAGTCGGCAGCTATAAGAGACGCTATATTCACCCCGTCAAATACCAGCAG